TCACTAAGTTATGCACCTGAAATTAATGTAACATTGTGTGTCACCTAAGCTCAGAACAAAGAGTAATGCTGATCAGTCCTTATTTTTCCTAATTTCCTTTCCCTCCCTCTCTTCCCCTTCCTCCTTTCTCCTCTTTCCCTCCATCCCTCTCTCTGTGTCTCTGACCCTTGTTTCTTTCACTTTTAGAAAAATCAAAAGAAGTGAGCACACAAGAAGTTTTTGCTTTAACCACTCAGCATTCTCCAAAGTCACCCTTACCCCTTACTTTCACTCCCTCACAAATATATATATATATACATATATATATACACACACATATATATATATATATATATATGTATATATAATCTCCACTTTAAAAGTCCAGATGTTGGGGCACCTGGGTGGCTAAGTCGGTTGAGCGGCCGACTTCGGCTCAGGTCATGATCTCGCGTTCTGTGAGTTCAAGCCCCGTGTCGGGCTCTGTGCTGACAGCTCAGAGCCCGGAGCCCGTTTCAGATTCTGTGTCTCCCTCTCTCTCTCTGCCCGTCCCCCATTCATACTCTGTCTCTCTCTGTCTCAAAAATAAATAAACATTAAAAATAAATAAATAAATAAAAGTCCAGATGTTGTGAAGGGCCCAGTTCAAAAGCTACTTTGCATTGTTTCTCTAATCATCTCTTCCAACCATAGAAATGAATACACATCATCTTTACTTCCCCTGGGAACTTTATCCTTCCAGAATGTATCATAGTCTGCCCTGTCTTACCATTATAGCTGGTAGATTACAAGATCCTTAAGAATAGTATCTGTGTTTAATTTAATTTTGTACACCTCTTAGCACCCAGCAGAGGGATCTGCTCATAGTAGGGGCACAAGAAATATTTATTTAACAATAACTCCTTTCAGCATACGCTGCCTTAATATACTTCCTTTGAAATTGGCATTTGTGATACCTCCTTGTATCATTCCATATTCTCTTCCATGCAGTTTCTCTAGATTTTCAAGGAACAAGATTTTCTTTTTATTAACAAGTTTAATTTTGCTATTTATTTGAATCTCAGCAGTCAGTGAATTGTACCCTCTCTTTTAATAGCCTCGTGTGCAAGCTGAACACAAGGACCACCATTCTGGCAGCAACTAACCCCAAAGGCCAGTATGACCCCCACGAGTCCGTGTCCGTGAACATTGCCCTTGGCAGCCCACTTTTAAGTCGATTTGATCTGATCCTGGTTTTGCTTGATACCAAGAATGAAGACTGGGATCGTATAATTTCCTCCTTTATCTTAGAAAACAAAGGTATGTGGAGATAAATCATTCACATTGGTGGAGAAAAAGTAGACACAACCAGATGAAATTCTCTTTGAAGAAAATTAAGTAAATACTCAAGGTACCTACCTAACCGGCAATAGAGAGATGCTTAGACCGAAGGCAGCAAGAGGAGCCACTTAGTGTGTCCAGAATAATGAGCAGAAAGAAGGAGGCCTGCTGATGATCTTATAGTTGGTAAATATGTTCTTTGTGATGAAAAGAGGGCAACCTTATGGTAAATAGTTACCACTCACCTCTTGCACGCAAAGAAAACTGGACTGAATTATGAAACAGAAATCTCTAAATGTGTGTTTCTCTTTAAGTTAAATTAGATTTATTCAAATACTGTGTATTACTATAGGACAGACCAGAATTATTCTGGATAATTTTAGTGCCTGTAGGAAGTTTACCTTCATTAAGCTTAGATCCTAAGGCTGCTTGTTCTTGAACTATATGCCATGCAGAATCAGGTCTAGGTTTCAGTGGCCACAAACCTGAAGGTTATCTTTTTTAAAGATGAACACAAGAACGTTATCAAAACCCTTTAAGTGAGATGTTTGCCTGTTCTTAGAAATTGCTGACCTAGCACCTGATATTTACAGGTTACCCAAGCAAATCAGAAAAGCTCTGGAGCATGGAAAAGATGAAAACCTATTTCTGCCTGATTCGAAATCTACAGCCCACACTGTCTGACGTGGGTAATCAGGTTCTTCTCCGGTACTACCAGATGCAGAGGCAGAGTGATTCCCGGAACGCTGCCCGGACCACCATCCGCCTGCTGGAAAGCTTGATCCGATTGGCAGAAGGTTTATTTCTTTCAACAAATAATACTTCTATTGGGTGCCCAATGCGTGCAAGGCATGGAGCTTGGCACCATGATTCAAAGATGAATAAGAAGATTTTCTAAGGTGTTCATAGTTGCTTGAAAAGCAAAGGCTCTGAGCTATGAAACCTGCATTCTTCTGAGGACAGATTATGAGTATTGAGTAGAGTGTAGCATCATTAAAAAGACTCTTGGTGACATGATTCATTTAGAAAGTCTTATTTACTAACATTTGTTTCTCAGTGGTGGTCTGTTAGCATTTTCGGTGGAATACTTGCTTGTTTAGAGTTGTTTCCAGTGAAGCATATCTGTTTTTTTCTCATTAGTTGCCATTCACAGGCCACCACTAACATAACAGATGACCCCAACCCTAAGGCATGAGACTTACATGCATACATACAACTAACATGTATCTCAAGACTTTTTTTCTAGGGGCACCTGGGTGGCTCAGTCGGTTAAACATCCAACTTCAGCTCAGGTCCTGATCTCACGGTTCATGAGTTCGAGCCAGTGTTGGGCTCTGTGCTGACAGCTCAGAGCCTGGAGCCAGAGATGCCAGAGATGAGAAATGACTTTAATATTGTGTATTTCTATAATAGACTAGAAAATGAGGATTAATGGGGCACCTGGGTGGCTCAGTCAGTTAAGTGTCTGAGTCTTGGTTTCAGCTCAGGTCATGACCTCACGGTTTGTGGGATCGAGCCCCGTGTTGGGCTCTATGCTGACAACGCCTGGGATTCTCTCTCTCCCTGTCTCTCAGTTCCTCCCCCACTCACACAAATGCACCTTCTCTCTCTCTCCCTCTCTGTCTGCAAAATAAGTAAATAAACATTTTTTTAAATGGAGATTAAAAGTTGTTGAATATTAGCTATATGCTTATATAACCCCTTTCTTTATATTCTTTCTATATATTAACCCCTTTCTATATATTCTTTTCTTGTTGGAGCCCAGAGTACGTTCATGTAAATACCCAGAATTGACATGGGCTGTGAAAGATTAGGCCCATCATTAGAGAAACAACTTTAAAACTAATTGAAATTAGACTTCTGTGGGGTGCCTGGGTGGCTCATTTGGATAAGAGTCTGACTCTTGATTTTGGCTTAGGTCTTGATCTCAGGGTTGTGATTAAAGCCCCGCATAGGGCTCCAGGCTGGGTGTGGAGCCTACTGAAGGAAGGGAGGAAGGGAGGAAGGTTGTTTTAGTAAAACAACCTTGTTTTAGTAAAATGAATTTGGTACTAGTAGCTCATTCATAAAATGTAATTTTTCAGGGGGTCAGGTAAAGTATTACATTTATCCCCTCAGATGTGCATCAAAAAATTTCTGTCTTCATAATTTTCTTAGCTCATGCTCGCCTGATGTTTCGTGACACTGTGACTCTGGAAGATGCTATTACAGCAGTGTCAGTAATGGAATCCTCGATGCAGGTAAGGGTATTTTGCACCTAATATTTGAACTCTAACTATAAGCATGTAAAAAAAAAAAAAGACAATTTATAGCATATCAGGAGTTGTAAAAGTGATCATAATCTAGATCTAATAATTTCAGGAAATATATCCAAAGGAAACCATTTAAAAGAAGGGGAAAACATGGTCGTGGAAGCATTCTTTGCGTCAGTAGCATTGCTTTTGCCAACTAGTGTGCAGCAGTGGGTGTCACTCTTTTTTCCTCAACACGTCTGAGGGGCGCTCATGGTGCCACTAGTGACAGTGTGCTTCCTGGAGCAGTTCTTGCCACCAGGAACTGGAGGGAGAGAACTGTTGAAATTTGCAAAAGGCCCAGTTGACTGACAGCCAAGATGGGAGTAGAGAGGGCCGATCTGGGATCAGTGGCCTCCAGCATATGCTTCCTCTATGCAGGCTGACTGGTTGACTCTCTCTGGTATTTTCCATTTTCTCGATACCCCTTCAGGGAGGTGCACTGCTAGGAGGTGTGAATGCACTTCACACTTCCTTTCCTGAAAACCCTTTGCAGCAGTACCAGAGGCAGTGTGAACTCATTCTGGAAAAGCTGGAGCTGCACAACCTCTTGAGTGAAGAGTTAAGAAGACTTGAAAGGTGAGAAGAGAAATCCAAGAAAAGGCTTATAATGGAAAATCCTTGTTTGACACTTCGTGAAATGAAGGAAGTGGAAATTAAGTGGAAAATCTGTCTGTACTATCTGTAGGGGATTGTTTCAGTTGTCTGTTGCTGTATAATCAACTACCCCAAAGCTTGGTGGCTTACAGAAACAAAGCCAAAACCACCACTACTACCATTTTATTGCTCACTTTTCTGAGAGTCGTAAATTCGTTTATCTCCACTCCACACAGTGTCGGCTGGGATCACTCATATACTTGAATTTAGCTGGGAGCTCAGGTGGAACTGGAACATCCAGAATGGTTTCCCTCACATGTGTTGTGCCTTAGTGGAGGTGGCTTAAATGGCCAGGGGCTCTCTTTACCACAGGGGAGTCGGAATTCTGACACGGTAGCTTAATGCTCCAACAGAGCAAAAATGGAAGCCAGCAGGCCTCTTATGAGCTGGGCCAGAACTGATACAGCATCATTTCTGCCACAATTTTATAGGTCAGAGCAAGATACAGGGTCAGCCCCCATGCAAGGTAGGGGAAAATAGACACCACCTCTTGATGGGAGGAGTGACATAGACATACAGGAATGGGGGAATTGATGGCTGCCATCCTTGGAGACCACCTTCCGTAGCTACATTTCCTTGGCTTGCTGGCTCGGTGAGCCTCATGGAGAACACTGGCAGGTTCTTTACTATATATGGTAAACTGTGTATTAATTTACTGAATTTATACCACCGGTTCCCAATTACGTGAGAAGTACCAAGGTTGGCTACTCACAGTTCACACCCAAGACATGCAGTTTCCATGGAATCAAGAAGCCTTGGTAAATGGGATTTATTCTGTTCACTACCACTAGTTCATCCTCTTCTCTTTCTTTGGGTCAATATAGGTAGAGCGGTGCCATTTAGAAAGGTGGCTGGGAATGCTGTTAAGAAAGAGGAAGTTGAACTCCAGGAGGTCAGTCTACCCCAGGCTAGACCCAGCCACAAAATATTATCATAATTTGGCTTTATCATTTTTCCTTGCCAGGAAAGGACCATGTGCAAGGGAGTTTACATGAAGAATCATAGTGTTTATTAATATTTTAATTTTATTCTTAATGGTTTTAAAGCTCTCTTCCAAGCGTAATAAATGTTTGCTCTTTTTGTAACCCTGGTGAAAGAAAATCAGGTAGAAGACTGAGGCCCAGATTACTTTCGAGCCAGCCGAATAGGATGTTTTGAAAGTTTGAGAAGTGGAGATAACTAGTAGTGACCTTTACCTGTGAAAGGCCCTCCTGGTCCATTAGCAACAGCTCTGACCCTCCCTTCAGCATCATCATTTTCCTTCCCTACATGCGCAGATTCATGACCTTTAAAATTTCACATATTTAACAGACAAAAAGTCTCCAGTGAGAATGATGTATTTTGTTAAAGAGGGAAACCTGTTTCTCCTCCAACAGGGTAACAACTCAAGAATGACAAAAGCAATGTTTCAAAACTCAGCTTTGTAATGATTTGTTAAAATGTGGGAAGGAACATGTCATGTGCATTACCTAGAGAATTTTTGCCCAGACTTCAATGTTTGCATGCTCCCTACATACATGAACTTCTAAAAAGCTAGACTTTGAGGGTGTACCTGTGACACATGAGTGAGCGATGGCAGAGGTATCCATTTGGGTATCTTCATGATCAGCGTGAGTGGCTCAATAATTGCCCTGAGTCTGGCAGCTGGCATTGACCTCAAAGCTGGGAGCTGGTGAAAGGAGTTCCCGTGGAAGCAGAGCGGCTGCTGAAGGAGAATTTAGAGACTGAGATGGATTGTTGACCGAACAAGTATAACCTTGAGAATTATTTCCCTGGCTTTTCTCCTTTCACTCACTGCCTTCATGGAGTAGCATTCTCTCTCAAATTCATAAAACCCCAGCACAGCCTTCCTGGGGGAAGTTTGGGGACTGGCTTTGTGTTGCTAATACCTAGTGCCCCTTGTATAAAATCAACCCCCTTTTCTCTTGGTCTGGTTTTTTAATGATCCAGAGCCTGGTGTTAAGATGAAAGATACTCCTTTGGTTCTTTTATGGTTTGATGTAGCTGATCCCTTTTAGACCTGCCCTGGGCCTGGCTTGGCTTTTGGAAAGGCTGCTCGTTTTGACTGAGCAGAAACTGGACATTTGGACTACCAAAAGCTGTCATGCTGGATTCAGGAAGGAAAGGAATGTGAAGCTCAGAATCAGTGTTATGTGATAGAAAAACAGTGGTTGAACTTACCAAATTCAAAATGACCCTCCTGGAGGGAAAGAAGAAGAAGGGTAGGTAATGATCTAAAAAAATAGGATTCTGCCTTGGGGCGCCTGGGTGGCTTGGTCGGTTAAGCGTCTGACTTCGGCTCAGGTCACGATCTCGCGGTCCGTGAGTTCGAGCCCCGCGTCGGGCTCTGTGCTGACTGCTCAGAGCCTGGAGCCTGTTTCAGATTCTGTGTCTCCCTCTCTCTCTGACCCTCCCCTGTTCATGCTCTATCTCTCTGTGTCTCAAAAATAAATAAATGTTAAAAAAATTTTTTTTTAAAAATAGGATTCTGCCTTAAAATATCCTTTTCTTCTGATACATCTTTGTAATGCAGGGGCATGTCCCAGTGTTGATCCTCAAAGTAACAAAACCAGGTTGCCCTGCAAATGACAATGCATGACCTCCAAGGCTAATTTTGTTAAGCGAGAAAAGCCCACGTAGCATATAGTTTTATCCCCTCAGGAAAGACTTGTCTATTCCTTAAAGTGGTCATATATGACTCATCAAACTATTGTACCTTTATCACACTTTTCTTCTGGAAAATGCTTACCAGTGACAGCCGGCCTCAAATGGTGGTCATTCTATTCATATGAAAACAGAATGCAAAGAGATTGTCTTTTAGGAAGGTATAGTAAAACTGGAAACGTTTTATGTAGGGTAGAATTTAACTCCCAAAGTCAGAATAAGACTAAAATGGTAGGGCTAAATTATTCTATGCCTTAAATTCACTGTCTTTTAGAACATTTTTTATGGAGCTTTAACAATTATGAATATCTCTGACCCCAATTTGATGTATATTTGATAGAAGTAATTTTGCAAGCTATTTTGGGTTTTTTTTGTTTGGCTGTGACTGTGGTGAATGTGGATTTTGCTGTATTGATGTGTCCAAATCTATAGTGAGTGAATATAACCCAGTATTTTTATCATAAGTTTTTGTGGGTTTTTTTTCCTGATCATAAGAGGTAATACATGTTCTTAATAGAGTATTTTGAAAAGTAACAGTAATAAATTAAAAAGATAAAAATCACATATAATCTTATTTCCCAGAGAGGCCTACCATTAACATTTTAATGTATTTAAATATATTTAAATCTAAAATTCATTTAAATGTAATGTATTTTCTTCTATACCTTTTTCTGTGATTACACATGATTTTTAGAATAACTTACTCGTCTGCTCTTTGGCTTAGTTCTTTTCATATTTAACACACGGAAGTGGGATCATGTTGCCCCTTATACTGCGAAGCTGTTCCTTTTGAGAAACTGTCATCTCTGTTGGAAGTTGATCCTCTGGCATTATTTCCATTTCTGGCATGCCCAAGATTGAAAATGACTATCACTGATCAGATCCTTCATTCTGGAAGGTCAGTAGGTTTCACCTCTGTGTCAGCTGGATAGAGAGTAGCTGCCCAGAACATGTGTTGAAATGGCTACACTTTGCAGGAAAAATGTCACACTTGCTTGGGGGAGGTGTGCCATGAACGTGATGCCACAGGGCCAGTGGGATCACAGTCTCTACTCCCAAGGAAGGTGACTTTTAGGTGTGCTAAAATTCAGTACTCAGGTGAAGAGACGTGAGGAGATCATAATCTCTGGGCTTCCACTCTGTTTCTGACCTGCAGACTGCCTACGAAAGAACCACCCGATCAGCAGCTGTCCACTGTGCAGATAGTTAGAAGCCTGTGTTGTAGTGGAACATGTAACAGGAGCGATAAGAATACGCATTTTACAGTGACCTTCAAACAATCTTAAATGAATTAAATGGACTTTCAGAGCGATCTAAAGATGTAGACAAACCTGTTACTTCATTTCCTTTATTTCATTTCAGTTTTAAAATGATGATCAAAGCACTTAAATTCTATACTGCTGAGAAAGGATAATTTCCTCCTGCTGCTCTAAGAGACTGTATTTGGTATTAACTTGGAATTATGTTGGACTGAAGCCTTTAGATGGCATCTCAGAGACTAAAGAAATGGAAAGGTTAAAAATTCTCTTCTCTTCAATACATGTTTTCCTTATTTATCTCTGCCACAGGTTACAGAATCAGAGTGCGTACCAATCCCAGCCCCAGGCAGTGGAGGCAGAGACTAACCCAGGATCCTTGAAAAATGATCCAGGAGAAGAATGCAAGTCCAGAATCTGGTCAGCACGGCAGGAAGTGAACTGTAGTACGCTGACGTCCTCTGCTGGAGGCAGTCCTGAGGGAAGCCCACTTCCCAGTCCCCTCTCCCCCCTGGGGCCTAATACATCAACAAATAGAAAACATTTACCTGAGCACAAATACAGCAAAGATGAGAGTTTGGACTGGTTTGACTGCATAGCAGCTCATCAGATTGAGCCCCAAAACACTGTTCCTATGTCTCCCAAAACAACTGGGGGGAAAATGGCTTTGAAAATCTTCCGGAACAAATCTCAGGGTAAGGAAAGGAATGAGCCAGGCCAAAGGAGCAAATTGGAAACTGGACAGCTTCTAGCACCAGGAGAGGCAGAAGCTCCATCAAGGCCAGATAATGTGGAAGGTAAAGAGGCAAAAAAGGCAGCAATGGTTTCTGAAATGTCAGTGCCTGCCGGTGAGCCAGACTCGGTACTGATGCATCACGTCTCCAGGAAACTGCACACGCTGCACAAGGCGAGGGCCCAGGAGCTGTACAGGAATCCCTCTAGGGCGCCTTCACGGCCCACAGGCTCTCCTCATCCTCGCTCTGGTCCTGTACACAGCCCACAGGGAGCGTGGGAAACTCCCAAAAGAACGAGACAGAAATCCCTTGCTCAGAGGGAAGAGCCTGAACTTGAATATGCCGGGAGTCCAGGTCCCCCGTTGGCCAAACTAGCAAAATTTACTTTCAAACCAAAGTCAAAACTGATCCATTCCCCTGAAGACCACAGTCATGTGTCTCTAGGCACAACTGAAGTAGCCGTCCCAGGTCCTGAAACTCCCCACGTTGCAAGCAGAGACTCAACCTCGCCTGTGAAGGGTCCCCAGAAGTTGGCCTCTCCCTCAGGAAGCAGGAACTCAAACCAGCCACAGAGTGAGGCAAAGCAGGTGTCCCGGAAGCCACCGGAGGAAGACAGGTCAAGAGAGGAGAGCAAACATGTCTCTGAAAGGAGAACCATCCAGCCTGAAGTAGAGCTTGGGAACAAGACTGAGCATTCTCATCTTACTTGTCAAAGAGACAGAAAGGAAGAGGTCTCAAGCAGTAACAAAAGCAGCAAGGTTCACTCCTGCACATTAGCCAAATTGGCAAACTTCTCCTTTACTTGCCCCTCTGAATCCAAACCGGAATCCCTTCCTCCTCCTGAAAGTGTGAACCAGGGAGAGAGAGGCCCAAGCCCTCCTCCCGGGACTGCAGCTCCAGTGCCTGGCAAGAAGAGGAGAACTTTCCAGCTAGAGGGGTCCACTGAGAGATTGGCTCTTTCCAAAAAATCTCTCTTTACTTTATCAGAACTAGATGACGAAGCATTGGATTTTGATTGGGATGAAGAAATGAGAAAAAAACCATAATCATGAAAAGCTTTCAGGTCAAATTTCAGCCTCCCCAGCTCAACACAGCACCTTTGGGATATTGACGTGGTGTTTATATGTGAACAAAAACTCTTGGCCATAATGAGTTCCATTTAGAATACCAGCACCCCCGACAGGCTTTATAATTTCAGCTTTACCTTCATGACTTGAAAAGTCATATAATCAGTGTCTGGCAGAGTCGGGCAGTGTCATACCAGCACTTGAATTAATTGAAATTGTGCTTAATTTTGCAAATGTAATACTTGTATTCCCAAAGATGTTTCTGTTTGTTTTGGGTTGGTTTTTTGTTGGTTTTGTTCTGTTGTTTTTGTTTTGTTTTGTTTTGTTTTAATGGGGGTTGGGTCTTCGGGAGATCATTTCTTTCATTTACTTAGGAACAAATGCCAGGAAGGTAGCCCTCATAAAGTTAACAGGTTAGGTGAGGAATATTCTTTTTTTTTTCCTTCACCCAAGATGTGCTGAGTGTTATGAATATTGTAATTTTCCAAAATGATGTGATTTTTCTAATATTTTTGTGTTTATTTTTGTGTTTATTCTCATGTGTCAAATTAGATGTGCTAAAACATGTGCTAATGTTTTTCCTTCTTGAGGAGGCATCCTTACAGTTCCATGGTATTCTTAAAGATCTGGCAACTGGTCAAACAGCAGCTTTCTGAAGTATTGACCTTTTGAGTTTTCCCTGTTGTCTTGAGCTAACATTTTGTGCTTCAGATTCTTTGTATCATTGGCGGGGGGGGGGGGGGGGGGGGGGGGGGACGGGGGGGGTGGCTACCTTCAACACAACTTAAATCCTGTGGTTAGGAGAGCGTGTAGTAATCTCAATCATGTATCGTGGCATCTACCCAAGTGGTTAATATGGAAATATGATTCCTACTAAGTTATGATTCATTTGTCTTTAAAACCTAGCAAATGATGGCTGTGTTTGGTAGGAATAGACATCTCAAACTTTGTCTTTCTTAAGTCGTTTTAAAATCACTTTTTCCTTTGGATTCTAGCAGGAGCTGTTAGGATTTCTTAATTACAGACTTTCTCTTCTGAATTATGAATTTTTAAAACAATAATTAATAGAGGCTTCCATTGTCTGAGGGGCTTTTAGATGTGAAGAGTACCCAAAACTACCTGTACTTTGTTTAATGATTGTTTCATTAAGTTCATACCAAAATATTAAGGAACCTCAAATTTTCTTGAGCATTTAAACATTAATTCCAAAAGTGACTAATTACGTTTTCTGAAAAATGTTAAACTGTGAGTAAAAATTGATGAGTCTTTTGAAATAACACCTTAAACAGCTGGCGAGGATTGTAAAATGTACTATTGCACATTCACCTCAACTTATTCTGAAACATTAAGACTAGAGTTTAGGTAATTTCTTCTTCCTTCTGTACTTACTTAATAACTTCCCAGTGTAGTATGATTCTTAATGTGATCTGTCCCTAATCTCAGTATTAGTACTTTCCTGAGTTTCAATAGTCTGACTAGAAATGAGGGAAAGAGAGAGGATCCGGGTTATCGACAGGTTGAATCTTGGTCTAGACACAGTCTAGTCTGATTGTGTAGACTGGGACAATTGAAACTGAGTCACCATGCCAAGCTGTTGTTTTTGGTTTGGTTTTTGTTTTTGTGGTAAACTTTTAAGTCCTCCTCTTATAAATGTCTTTGAAACTTGGTATCTCTTGCAGTAACGATGTATTAAATAAAGCTTTGCATGGCTGGCAGTACGTAACCTGTTGGCTTTGTCACTAGGGTATTTTGATATGTTCTGTTTTTCATTATTTAAAATGGCTGTGTTCCTTATTGGGAATCTTGATTCTAGAGCTTGCACTTCTTGGTAATGAGGGATTTATGTACTTAACTTACCTCTTCAGGACATTGAATAATTCATGTTTTAAAATACGGTGTTAAATTGTCTCTCTTCCTTAATTATTGTATATGACCACCTGTGCCACCTGCTACCTGGTTATTCTTTGTACCCACCATGCATCCTATTATTTATGCTAATAAATCCACCCTATTTTTTATTTTAGCACCTTCTTCTGTCAGGATCATTTGGCTAAATTACAGGTTCCATGTATTTCTTTGGTGCTTACCCAGTTAGAAATAACTTTGTAAATATTGTAAATAGACAAACTTATTAGAAGGAATAAAATATGTTCAATATGAACATTCCCCTACTTACTAAAAAATTAAACTTGTATCACAGCCTGCTTTCGGGTTACGACTACCTTGCTGTGCTTGTGTTTGATGGTCAAAATCTGACAACTTGGTCAATAGGAAGTCCCATTATGTTGATGCCGATGTCCTTTTAGGACTCTGACATTTCTAAAAGTATCCGTAGTATCTGAAAATAACAGCACGTTCCAGACACACTTTGATTTTTTTCCTGCCTCTAGTCTTAGAATCAGCTACCCCCTAAGGCAGTCTATTCCCTTTATAGGCCGATGGTATCACAGGCCAAACTCATGGTCTTAAGGGTATGCAGGGTCAAAGTACTACCACTGCTGTTTGCTCCCTGTAGTAGTTTAGAGCTGAAAATGTCTAATGTCGTGAGGTCACATTCTATCCTGCTGTGTCCTGTTTTTCTTACGCTATGTGACTTCACAAGACTTTCTCTTATATGGTATTTAGTGTGTACCAAAGAAGCACATGGGCATCTTGGGGGAGTATGTACAGTCTCAAAAATCATATTTCTGGTCAATAAGGGAAAGTATAAAAATAACCCTTAATTCTGCATCAACATGTCAGAATACTTTTATTTCAGGCCAGTGAACTCCTTTAAAACATTTTAGTAATGTAGAATTACACCTAATTTGCGAGACCAAACCAGAATTTTAACTCTCTTATAATTATGTAAAAGAGAGGAGTTTTCTGAACCTATAAAAGATAATGTCTTCAGTGTATATGTGGGAGTCTAAAATTTCTAGTAGGGATTTTATTATAATTTTTAGTGTTTCTCAGAAATGCAGACAGAATAAGCTTATTATTCTGATATCTTTAACTGTTCGGCTTAAACTTTAAACTTTTTCAGAAGCTATACCAAAACTTTAATAATAGAGATCTCCTCTTGGTTGACAAATTTGAATTCCCACAAACACTGTACCTGATTCCTATGCTTTCTTCAAGTGCTAAAGCTGCCTAGCTGGTAGACTTATTGCAAGAACAATTGTAGGGAAAATCTCAGGTCAACCAGGATACCTTGAGGATACCTCAAGGATACCCTGAGGTCACTTTTAGCCAGTCCACAGCATTTGGGAATTCAGAACCAACCTACACTCAAAGTCTGGATCACTAGGGCCTACCTGCCAGACAGGTTAACCTTCCAGACGGCCTCGTTCCAAATCTAACGAACTCACAGGGTGGCAGACGAGGCCAGTGCAAATTCCTCAGTGTTCAGAATAATATCTCCCATGTCTGCTTTCCTTATTGTTAACATTCAAGAAGATAAAAGAAGGCTCCTGGCTCACGTTAGTACTCCCATAGGGGTTTTGCCGTCTATGTCCCATGCAACAAGTGCCATAGCCCCCCCAGGTATATGGGGAGCCATTACCCACATACCCCCTTCACTGTTTCTCAGAAGACATGCACAGGAAGCTGTAGAAATTGCTCCCTGTGATACACTTTTCTGTTGTTCTTATATCAGTTCCCTTCTTAAAGGCTTAAAAATGCATCTAAATATAATGTTTGTATTAAATATTTATTAAATATTAACATTACTGTTAATGTATTAAATATTGTATTTCATATTTGAAACTTGACATTTCTGTCAAGTTAGGCTTAACTAAATTGTTGATGTGTCTATGTAAATACTCTGATTCAAGATAAAGTCTCAGAAGGGAAATAGGATTTATACACTGGGCCTGATCTCCCCCAGGAAGTAGGGTATAAGTTATTTATCATCCGGGCACAATGGTTTTTAGGCCACTCTTCTCTATGTTTGGTTAGAACCTTAAGCGTTGGCCAAGTTGAACCACCAGAAAGGTTCATTTTTTTTTTTTTAATTTTTTTTTTCAACGTTTATTTATTTTTGGGACAGAGAGAGACAGAGCATGAACAGGGGAGGGGCAGAGAGAGAGAGGGAGACACAGAATCGGAAACAGGCTCCAGGCTCTGAGCCATCAGCCCAGAGCCCGACGCGGGGCTCGAACTCACGGACCGCGAGATCGTGACCTGGCTGAAGTCGGACGCTTAACCGACTGCGCCACCCAGGCGCCCCCAGAAAGGTTCATTTTTATGTGGGGGCAAACATGGTTTAATTTAGGACTTTCATAATAAACCAAGCCAGTATGGTAATACTACTTAACACATCTGATCTGACTTTTTCAGTGCCTACTGATAAATAAAGAAGACCAGGAAGCCTAGCAAATTGAGAATCAGGCGAATTGGTTTCTAGAACCGAGTGATCAGTAGCCAGCAGTATGACCTTGCTGTCTACAAGGCTCTTGTCCATAAAAGAGGATTAAGCATTTCTGATTCAGGTATTACTGAGTTACAAAAGAGGAAAACTTCAGAGGCTAGCTGAAATAAAAGGTTCACTGCAAGGGTATGGCGGGGAATCTCATTAAGGGCAGGAAACAAAGTTTAACCAGCCTACATGACCCTGGAACTGAAAAGTTCTCTCAGCCTCTCTGGGGTTCTCAAGGTCCCTTGAGATTCCCTGGGGTTCTCAAGGTCCCTTATCGCCACTTCTCATGGCGTGCTCCCAAGAGCGTGCTCCCAAGTACTGTCCCTCTCTGCAGCCCTGTTCTCTGTGCTAACTTGGGGTTTCTCTGGTGCCTTGCAGCTTTTGATCTACCTTGAGGCCTGGCTCCCTGCTGTTACTTTCTCTGATCTTTCCGGAGGACTCACCTATCTTCATCTTACAGATTCAGGCTCAGTGTTCACTTGGTTCAAGAGGATGTGAGGGGTGAGGGAGTGAGTGGCCACATGGTACAAACAGCATCCGGAGCCGTGGGTGGAGTCCATCTCCAACAATGGGGTGAGAGGCCGTGATTGGCCAGTCTAGCAAACTTCTGTCTTCACAGGGTTTTTGGGTTGTAAGTTCTATAATTCTGTAACCTTTTTTGTTTCTGTTACAGTTACTGAGTTGAGACAGCATGCCTCTAAAGGTACTTGGATCATCTTTCCTAAGGGAGCCTTGTAAATTCCTGCCCGACAGCAACTAGGTGTTTTTCAAGGATTGCGAGCCACTTTGGGCTTGTTGGAAGTGCAGTTCAGGCTACCGGCCACCGAGGGCGCTGTTTGTTTTGTCACTGGTTATTAAGTTTCCATTTTTCTGCGCATAAATTTCTCATCATAACTACGTTATAGGGTTTAGAAATACTTGGATGAAAATCAAAATATATAGGAGCATTAAAAGACATCTGAAATATACTTTAGAAATAATGTCTGCAGTTAAGATATATTTTAACATTTTCCAAATTTTCAACTTTATTAATTGCCAACAAAGCAGGGACTAGATCCACTGTGAAGAGAGGAAGATACATGTGTCTCAGGACTACTTTGGTCCTTTTAGAATTACAGTTAGTCCAGGATAATTTTAAATTGAGGATTCATACATATACTGATCTCTAATCTTATTTTACCATTGTTGGGAAATTAAACTACTTTGTAAGAAGGGGAGCCCAAAGCTGTCTTGAAGGATCCAGCATATTGGAAACCTTTGATTTTCTGCCTTTGAGAGGCCTCCATGCGATGGGGAATGACAAGTTGCCTGGAGTACGGTAAACTCCTGGAGACCACCCCCCCCACACACACACACACCATTTATATACTCTGTCCCTAAGAACTGGTAAAGATGAACAAAATAGTGTAACACAACCTATCCTTGAATGGGAAGTTACCTGCTAGACATGGTCCAGTCATTTCGCTTCCCAATATCATCATGTGTTCATGAAGGTTACAAAAACCAAGAAATTTTAATTTCATTATAATTAGATATATGGATAATTGTTTTCTCAAAAAATGCTAAAATAAACTGAGTTTCAAAGAAACCTTGAGCCAAAGTTAAATTTTAAATTCACAGCAACTGAAATATTTCTAAATTGGTTTTAAGTGCTTATTTATTTCAATGAGATTTTAATTACAACATGACAATCATAATATTAGTACTTACTCTTCAAAACACAACACATGACATTTGATTTTCACATTAATACTATTCATAATGAAGGTGATACTTTTACAAATGGGGGAAACCTCAGACATTTAAATAATTTTTTTTAAAGAAGAGATGTTTGGTTTTTTTTTTTTTAAGAGTGTTCTTTTTCTTTTCTTTCTTTCTTTTTTTAAGTTTATTTAAGTAATCTCTACACCCAACATGAGGCTCAAACTCACAACCCCAAGATCAACAGTCTCATGCTCTTCAAACTGAGCCAGCCAGGCACCCCTAAGTGATTTTTTTTTAAATGTCTTTAACATTCCTTATTGAAAGATTAGTTTCTGGAACATATTTCTCAACTCCCCTTTTTATTGCTCCATTAAAAATAATATCTATTGATCGAGGGTAAAAATTATCTATTTATATTTCTTACTATGTGCTTATTTTTTAAGCACTTTTCAATATTTAGATGAAGGTATTAACTCATTCTATCCTCCCAGCAATCTATAACATAGGTAGTATTGTTATGCTGGTTTTACAAATTAGGTAGCTATAGCCTAGAGACACTAAATAACCTGACCAAAGTTACATCATTAGTGTCAACCTAAATAAAAAGGTAAACTGAGGCAAGCTTGAATTTCCAGAAATCTAGTTTATGTGGGAAAAGCTGAGGAATTGCAGTTTGGAAAATGCATGCTATTGCAAGCTCCAGGGAGTCCGTTGAGGGTTTGGGGTATTTATGGGCAAGGAGTAAAAGCCAGAGTTCAAAAAGCAAGGTCATGGGCTTGAGGATGGGGAGATTCTTGGCATATATTCACTGGTCAGGAGGGAAGGCTCTGTCTTCTGTAAATTAGGCATTTCCAGGAAGTCAGGCTCTCAGTACTTAAGTTCTGTCCTTCTGAGGCGCTTGGATGAGATTCTCCGTTTCATACCCTCCCTTCCGCTGTAGACCGAGATCCCCTACAAGAGTTAGCAATGTGATGCCTGTATTAATTCCTAAAATGAGAGAGGAAAGTATTACCCAGAAGAAACCCCTCACTTTGTCATGCTCTTAGTCCACCTCACACCCCCTGCACACCTTTGCTAGCACCTGCCCCCCTGTGCCCTGCCTTCTGTCCTGTGACAGAGGGGACTATCCACACTCCTATGCGAAGAAAGCCCTTCCACTTGGGCTGGATCGTGCCCCTCCTGCCTCTTCAGAACATGGCCCCAGCATCCTCCCCTCACCCCTTAGCAGTCCCCCTCCCCATTGTATCATTTCCACCACGGATTCAAAACAAAAACACCTTGCTTGACTCTACTTCCCTCACTATGTCTGTTTCCCCTCTTAGCAAAACTTTTTTGGAGAGTTGTCTATACCCATCTCCAGTTCTCGTCCCTTCTGCTGGCCCACTCCAGTGGAAGTTTTTGGCCTTAATGCTGCTTCTGAGAAGCCTTATCAAGGTGACCTTCATTGCTCATTCTAAGCCCTGATCTTACTTGATTTGATAGACCTGCTTACTGTCTCCTCCCTGAAATCCTTCCTCACTTGTCCTCCAGGACAACACATGCCTGTGGTTTTCCTTACTAACCTCTTCTGGCTTCCTCAGTCTTTTTGCAACTTACCTAGCTTCTCTTCCTCTTGTAGACCTTTAATGTTTGCGTGGCCCAGGCTCTTTTCTATCCCCGTGATTTTCACGAAACCTTAGGGTTCACAGAACCTACCTGTTAGCTGATGATTCCTGATCTCTAGGCACTGGTATCAAACTCCTATTCAATGTATCTCCTTGGTTATCTGAAAGGCATCTGAACCTCAACATATTCCAAATCATACTCCTGATTTTGTCCCCCTAAAGTTGCTCCTTTCCCAGATTTATCCATCTTGGCAAATTAAATGGATACTCTATCCTTCCAGTGCTTGGGGCAAACATTTGAGTCATCCTTGACAATTTATTGTCTCTTGTATCTCATACCCCATCTGGCAGAAAATCCTATGGACTCTCTATTTTAAAAATATTCAAGGACGCCTAGGTGGCCCAGTTGGTTGAGCATCCAACTCTTGATTTCAGCTCAGATCGTGATCCCAGAGTCATGGTATTGAGCCCCATAGTGGACTCCACACTGAGCATGGAGCCTGCCTAAGATTCTCACTCTCTCTCTCTCTCTCTCTCTCTCTCTCTCTCTACCTCTCTCTCACTCTGCCCCTGTTCCCTGTTCACACACTCTCTCTCTCTCACCAAATCTGCTATCACCCCAGTACAAACCACTATTCTCTCTTGCCTTGCCATCCTCCTTGACTTCCTACAGGTTGTTCTCAGCATAGTAATCTAAGCGATCCTATTAATAAGTAAAGTCAGGTCATGATACCTCTTAACCCAGACCCTCAAGTGGCTCCCCATCCTATTCCTGGTAAAAGCCAAAGTCCTTATAATAATGACATCTAAAGCCCTACAACCTCCGGCCACAAGCTACCACCAGCCTTGCTGTTTGTGTAATTCTCCAGACATGAACAGGCCTCAGGGCCTTTTCACTTGCCGTTCTATCCGTGAAGTGCCCTTTCCCTGAAGGTGATCACCCTCACCTTCTTCAAGATTTTGCTCAAATGTCACTTCAGTGAAGCCTACCATAACCTATTCAAAATTGCGAAATATTTCTCCCTTCCCAATTTTTCATAGCATTTTCATCACCTAACATAATATAACGTTTATTCACTTATTGTATTGTCTGTCACAGGTGCTAACCAAGGGCGAGGGAAATCTAGAATGGATGGTAGAGAAAAGAGACCATGAGTTTCACGTACTGACTCCAGATCAGCTGCGGGAGGGGTGGGGGGGTGGGGGGCTGTGGATCGTACCACTTTGTCATGCTCTTAGTTACAGTTGGCACTGCTAGTTGATGGAGCTTGGGGTACTCTGCTGACATCTTCCAGGGTGGGTAGGGGCCAGACTGATGAGTTAAATGGAGATTTGATGGGAATTACCACTGCGCTTCCTTTAGGTCGTAAAGGTGGCACTAATTTCTGCCATTTGCCTTGGGATGTTTGTAATTTGCAGTCTTGTCCTCAGGAGGGGCATAGAGGAAGCTTCAGAGGCTCCCACTTGTCCTTCCCCAATATGATAGCTTTTAGTCACAGGCCAAGGAACTAATATATGCATGTGGACATTTTGTCAACTTCCAAGAATTGTCTATTTCAATTATACATCAGGGACCAGGGACATAACCACTGGATTGGTCCCTGGACTGAAGAGACCCACTGTGAAGTGGACCTGGGCTAGGAGTCCATTTATTACCTGGCTTCCATGCACATCTACTCTGCCAGAAGACCATGATTTGTATCATACTGGTTACCACTGTCGACTCAGACCTTATGTTCCACAGTTCTTAAAATCTTGGGCTATTTCCTTTCCCCGGGGTATGGTTACCCAAGTAAATATCTTTTGGTCCCTTTGGGGAAGGACCGGGGTAGTCATTGTCATGCAGACATGCCAAGGTGTTACAGGGTACTTCTTCCTGAGGACCTGGCCTTCCCGTTAGTAGTGGGCTCTGAGTCTGAAATTAGTTCAGATCCAAAGCTTGTCAAAGAATTTTGATTTCTTGTTGGCACAGCTGCCCTTAGCCTCCTCGTGATCTTTCTCTTGACTGTATGGATCAGTGCATCAGAATCACCTGGGGCCTTATTGAACTATAGATCGCTGGCCCCCATCCCAGTGTTTCTAATCAAGTGGGTCTGGACTGTAGCCTGAGAATTGGCATTTCTTACAAATATCCAGGTAATGTTGATGCCACTGGACAGGGGATCACACTTGGAGAATTACTGGCACAGATTGATCTTGGGTCTAGAGACTCCAGTCATTTCCCCAGCTCTCTGTGCATCTGTCTCTCTGCCTGTGGCTCCGACTTGCTGCTCAGTGAGATATTTGCTCCCGCCTTGCTTCTGATGGTTAAGCATTGTCATTTGGCCTTTGTAGGGGCAGGGATTCAGCTGTGAGCTGTCAACACTCTCAGCAGCTGAGTACTGTGTGCCGAGGTCTTGAAGGGGAAATGTGGGTGGCACCCTTCAGACCCTACCATGCATCTTCCAGCATCTGTCTTAGATGCTTCTTCCAGCATCTGTCTTAGCATCTGTCTTCCAGAGCTAGTGAGGGGAGTGAGATTTGCTTCAGGCACAAAATTCAATGGGACCCCCCCCCCAAATATAAGCAAGATAAATATTTTGATGCAATATTTTAAAAATGAAAATGCAAGAAAATCCATGATATGAGCAAAATATCAAAACTTTAAAGTCAGGAATCAATGTCACTGATTTCTCCTTTTCCTTGGGCTCCAGTATGGCTTAGCATGTGGCACTGTCCTCCCTCACTAGAATGTAGGCTCTATGAGGTAAGCAGGGATTTTGTCTGTTTTACTCACTGATGTGTCCCCGGTACTTTAGAAGAGTTCTAGGCACACTTCTAAACACACAACATAGCAGATGTTGAATAAATACTTATTGAATGAAACATTTAAGACATTTGAGAGACGAATGACCATTTAATCTACATTTCCATATTTCTGTCTCTTTTTTTCCCTCAGTGTTTCTTCACTAGTGTTGAATGTATGCAAGAGGCCGCCTTCACCTTAGAGCCAGGAGACTTGGAGGGAATTAGGTACAATTTAGGGGAAGCTCCTGACAAAAATAGGATGTATTTAATTACAAAAGTCAATTTTGGCATGTTTAAAAATATTTTCTTGATTGATTCCATCATCAGATCTAAGATATATATGTAGTGCACGTCGCTGTACTAACCACACTATTAGTTGTTAGCTTATGTAATTATTAGAAAGTTTTTAGGAATGTTCTGTTGATCCTAGAAAATCTCCCTGCCTGTCCCCCCACCCCCAAGTACAGATGGATTTAGAATTCCAAGGCCAAAA